AATTTCGTGCACCAGGCCTCTTGTTATAAATAATACCACTATGAACATAGAGGTGCATATATTCTTTCAAATTAGTGTTTCTGGTTTCTTTGGATATATTCCAGAAATGTAATTGCTGAGTTATAAGGCAGTTCCACTTTTAATTTTCTGGGTTTGAATATTTTCTTACATTAACACAGAATACATGCTTCTGATGTGGGTCCTCTTCTTGCTCCTCCCAAAGGACCAGTCTGGGTTCTCTGAGGCCCATAACTTCATTTTGACAGACCCAAAGCAAAGGTATCTGGCAAGTACAAATATTACTGTGACATGATGTTGAAGGTTGAGGGCTGGCTACCTAACAGAGCTGTAAGAAGAGAAAATGTGTTTCTTGACACAGGTGGCTGGTGTTGGGTCCAACTGTGAAGTATGGGTGGAAGTCTTCCATCCCTGACATTTTCACAGATGTCAACTCATCATCTTCAAAGTCACTCAATGTAATCTCTACTCAGATGTCCTGCCACAAACACTGTTACTACCATGGCATTAGCTCTGGAGTAACGTGAGGGTGGTCTGTATGTAGAAATAGTCTCCACAATTTGCTTGGAGGAATAATCTCTGCATCACTTCATCAAGGGTGCCTGTGGTTCTGTTCCACCTCCCCCTCACTCCATTCCCACTATGAGGTCCTGCTCTGTTCCACCTGGTTTGGACTTGCCCTCAGAGCCTGGAGGGCTTTATGTCTCCTACCATGAAGCCCCTAACAATGTTCTGAGGGATGGCAGAGGCAGAAGGGAAGTAAGCTTTCATCAGCTCCCTTTGGGATCTTTAGTGCTTGCCTTGTCTAATTGCCTTGTCTTGCCTGGAATCTATAATAATAAAAGGGTAATATGTTAATTAGACCAGACATTTTTCCGGACATCCTTTCTGATGAAGCCAGGCCTGAGAGAAGCCAGCTGGGGTCCCAGGTGCCTATAGGCAGCTGGAGGAGGAAATTCCAAGTCCCAGGTGCCAGAGGGAAGCCAGTGCTGGCAGCCAGGGGAAGGAAGGCCTACTTTTGCATGAATTTTCGTGCATCAGACCTCAAATAAAGATATAAATAAACAAAACAAAACAAAAAAATGTTACAAGAAAATTGAGGATACTCAATACTCAAGACAAGAACCTGAGATCCATAAAAAAAAAATAGTGCATAAAAATAAAAATTTTATAATAAAAACACAGAATAAATACAACTAAGTGATACAGTTGGAAGAAAATATTTGTATTCATATAATCACCAATGACTTTTTATAATATACAAAAATCTTTTATGAATTGATAGGGCAAAGTCAACAACTCAATAAAAAATAGGCAACTATTATAAACAGACAAATAATAGAAGAGGAATTCTGAATGATAAATAAATAAATAGATATAATAAAAGTTCTCAATTTCTCTGCCCTGGCCAGTATTGTGGGCTCAATTCATAAAATGGGGCATGCAAGGAACTCCAGGTTCTTCAAGGACTCACAGCTTCAGCACACTGGTCATGAGAAGAAGGAGGCAGAGGAAGCCTAGGACCCAAGGCCCTTGCTGTGCAGGGTGTGTCTGAGGCGCCTGGAGCCCCAACAGCCTGAGAATGACATCTCCGTGCCTCCTGGTTCCTCTCTGCTCACAGCCTCCTGGCAGCCTGACCCTCGTGAACCCTCCAGCCTGGGGAGCAGGCCTCTCAGGTTCTGCCTCCCCGGTCCGAGCTCAGGATGGAGGTGCATTGATCGATATGGGCACTGCCATGAAGCTGATGGCGGAGGTAAAAGGATCCTATCAATGTCAGGGAAACCTTTATTGATCCACTCCAGTTAGTGCATGACAAAGATTTAAAACAGATTTTGCACCACCTGAAGAGGCTGGAGGGCTGCCGCCTGGACTACGATTATAAAAGGAGGCATGTTGGAAAGATCCCCAATGACAAGATCACACTAGCAATGGAAAAGTTCAAGGAGTCCAAGGATGTGGCAGAGAGAAACATGTTTCATTTTTTAGAAAATGACGTAGAACAACTCAACCAGCTGACCGAGTTTGTCCAGGCGGCTCTAGACTATCACCAGCCGTCAGCTGACAACCTGAAGATGCTGAAGAAGCTGTGGATTCGAATCGCGGCCGCCTCCACTCTGGACACAAGAAACTTCAGGACACATCCCCTGAGAAGATATCCCAGAGCACTCAACATGTCCATCTCCTCCTCGAAAGACCGCCTCTCTGACTCTGGCCAATCTGAGCAGGCTTTTTATGCTTGCAAATTATACATGTTCTGTACCCGAAGCTACACTGTGTTCTAGTAAAAAGCCTGCTCACGAGGCCAGGGGCTGCTTCCTGGGCGGCGCTGACCCCTGCAATAGGCTGAAGCAGCACAGGAGCCCGCGGAGAACAAAGGGGTGCCACAGGCCAACCTGCTGAGCTTCCAGGACAAGGAGGAAGAAACCGAAGAAATTTTCAATGTGAAGAAATCAAGTGAGAGCAAAAGATAGTAAAATTACTTAAGAAAGAATACAAAGAAGATCTTGAAAAATCGAAGACTAAGTCATAACTCAACTCAGCAGCCAACATTGCAACATAAATGCGTTTAAAAACAAAAACAAAAACAGGACAGAATGTTGGAATGGTGGTGGCCAGGCCTAGAGTAGCCAGGCACAAGGCAGTGGCAGCTGGGCCTGGAGCAGCAACAGCCAGGCCCCAGAGCAGCAGCAGCCAGAACCAGAGCAACAACAGCCAGGCCTGGAGCAGCCAGACCTGGGGCACTGGCAGCCAGGCAAGGTGGAGGTGGCCAAGCCCAGGGTGGCTAATCCAGGAACACCCAGGCCCGGAGTGGCTGGGCCCGGAGAAGCCGGGCCCAGAGCAGCCGGGTTGGGAGCAGCCAGACCCAGAACATCAGCAGCCAAGCCCGGAGCATCCAGGCTGGGTTGGGAGCAGCCAGGCACAGAGCAGCAGCAACCATGCTTGGAGAAGCCGGGTCGGGTGTGGCCAGGCCCGGAGCAGCAGCTGCCAGGCCGGGAGCAGCCAGGTCGGGAGTGGCAGTGGCCAGACCCGGAGCAGCTGGTTGTGGAACGGACCAGAGCAACAGAGGCCAGGCCCAGAGTATCCAGGCCAGGAACAGCTCGCTCCTCGCCTGCCCCCGCCCCAAGCCTGCCTCTCAGACATGGCTGGAAACTTTTGGGGGAACTTGAGGGTCTGCTGAGTCAAATGAGGAAGGCTTAGATCTGGATGTGTTGAGTTAGTATAGCACTGGGGTGTTGATCTGTGAGTGCCTTGTGTGGGGCCTGGATGAGGTTGGTTGATCTATTTTGAAATGTCTTTTGTGTGAAGTGTATCCTTGGGCATGTGGAGGTATTATTGATTTGAGAAAATGCTAAGTAATTGATTTACTATCTGAAAAATTTAAAGTTCTGAAAGTTTAAGGTCTCTTGCCAAAAAGAGGTTTTAAAGCTAACACCATAATTTTAATGGAGAAAGGGAATGACAAGCCCTTCCCACCCAGAACAGGTAATCCAATTCCAACCAGCCGCTATGTTTAAACAGTGTGTCCATTTACACTTGAATGGCTACACCTTTTGAAAGCCTAAGGGCACGTTTACATGTAAACAAGTTTGCTCTCAATTCCCAGGGCAGAAATAAAACAAGGTTTAAAATTATTAGATTTTAAAATTTATTCTTAGAAGTGTAAAAGTTTATTAATTAAAAAAAACAAAAAACAACAACAACAAAAAGAGATTGAAAAACCTGATGAACAATAATAGCGGTTCATTGTAGTAGAGTAGGCGATATGGGAGGGGAGTGGACTGACTGTTCTGGGGGGGGGGAGGGAGGGAGGAAGAGACTGTGCATAAACTGTGCATCTATGGATGAGGACAATTGGGGGAGGAGGAGGGGGCGGAGGGTGGGGTGGGAACCTGGTGGAAGGGGAAGAAATGAGGAACCTTTGTAATAATATGAACAATAAAGATTGATTAAAAAAAAAAAAAGCCTGCTCAGATTGGCCAGAGTCAGAGAGGTGGTCTATTAAAAAAAGAAAAAAAAAATGGGGCATGCAAGAGACAGCTGTCTCTTGAGAGATTCTCTCTTATCATTGATGTCTCTCTCTCTCTCTCTCTCTCTCTCTATCTCTCTTCCTAGCTGAAATCAATAAAAATATATTTTAAAAAAACTTGAAGAAAAAAAAAAAAAAAGGGAAGCATAGGCTATTCTATGAGGTCTTGACTAATGTCAGCCTAGAGACTAAAAAGCCTATTGGATTTCTTTGGTATGCCAATCCTCTGGATGTCTAAGTGTGCCAGATTTTGCTATCTTCTGAGTGGCTTTAATCTCACTATTCTTGGAGCAGCTGAGGTTTTTAACTCTAAGGAATGCTAGAAAGTAGTATTTTACCTTAAACTGTGTTTGATCTTGATATATTGATATTATCCTATCTAATAAAGAGGGAATATGCTAATTGACCATCACTCCATGACAAACATGGCTGCACCCACAGCTGAGGCCAAGTTCTCATAAGGAGCCTTAAGGAACATTCATCAGGGACCTGAGGCCGTGCCCCCCACCCTGTGGGGATTGACAGGGGACTTCAGGCGGTGCCCCCAACCCAGGCACCAAGCCGGGGGACCTCAGACTGCACCCCATGCCTGGCAGGGCTTGACAGGGGTGGGACTGACTGGATCTGGGTCTCACATGATTTTGAGGTGTATGTGGGTGTGTGTGGTCTTGACTCTGGGTCCTGTGGTGTGCCCCAGACTCTGACAGGAAGAAGGTTTTCATATACATTTTACTAATTTTCTTCCATCCCTGACACTTCTATTATAAAGGGCAAATAATGATATTAAATTATTTCCTCTAATTAATCTCCTTTTAATGTGCATGCATTTCATGCACCAGGTTACACAACAGAGGAAAAGCAAGAAGAAAAAGAAAGACTTACTGATATGTATACATTAGAAAAATTTGTAAATGTGACGGTTTCCCCAGAGGGGGACAGGCTTTCAGACCTGACTCTAAGTCCTACAGCCTCCTATCATTCTCTTCAAGGCCAGCTTCACCTCTTGATTCCGCAGAGTGTAGATGATGGGGTTGACAAAAGGAGTGATGGCTGTGGGGAATAGGGCAGCTGCCCCGCCCAGGGGGCTGTTGGTTTCAGGCCTCAGGTAGACGAAGGCACAAGGCACGTAGTACACGGTTACCACAGTTACGTGGGCTCCACAGGTCGAAAAGGCCCGGCGCCGCCCGTCAGCTGTTTGGATTCTCAGGATGGCCTGGATGATACGTATGTAGGAGAGGAGAATCAGGGAGAAGCAACTGGCAACCACCACCCCAATGTCCACGAGGGTCACCAGCTTGTTGACGGTTGTATCAGCACAGGCCAGCTTCAAAACTGCAGGGATGTCACAGAAGAAGTACTCTACCCGGTTAGGCCCACAGTAAGGCAGACGGAAGGTTAGGATGGCCTGGAGAGCCCCGTGGATGGAGCCTGCCACCCAAGCTCCAGCCACAAGTAAGGTACTCAGCTTAGCATTCATGAGCACAGGGTAGTGCAGGGGCCGGCAGATGGCCAGGTACCTGTCATAGGCCATCAGGGTGTAGAGGAAACACTGGGTGCTGCCCAGGAAGTGGTAGAAGTAAAGTTGAGTGACACAGCCACCGAAGGAGATGGGTGTGAGGACTGCAGTGAAGCTCATCATGAAGCGAGGAACAATGATGGTGGAGATGGCCATGTCAATGATGGAGAGAACACCAAGAAAGATGTACATGGGATGGGCATGGAGTTGCACATCTACCCAAACAGTGATTAGAATAAGCAGGTTCCCCAGCTGAGTCAGGGTGTAGATCAGCAAAAAGAACACAAAAAGAAATGTCCTTAGCCGGAGTGGGTAGGGAATTCCTGTCAAGATGAACTCAGTCAACAAGGTGCTGTTGATGCTTTCCATCTTCTGGAGAATTCTTACCTAGAGAATGGACAAAACAGGACTTAGCATGGGGGTAAGAGAGGAGGAATTAGAGAAAGAGATTGTAAAAATTGGGACAGTGGAAGAGAAGTTTCTTTCTTATGTGGAGACATGACAAGTAGGGAGAAAGTATGTTCTGTGGCAGGGGGTTGGACTGTTTTGTAAATAAAGTTTTATTGGAACACAGCCTTGCTAATTTACATATGTATTGTCTGCAGCTGCTTCGGTGGTAGGATGGTAGAGTGGTCATTGTGTTTGTTCTGCAAACCCTAAAATATTCACTCTCAGGACATTTATAGAAAATGTTTGTGCTTAGAAGTTTGTACCTAGAGAACTTTTGCCAAAGATTCAGGAGTTACTGCAAATGACAAGTGTGGGAAAGGATTCAGTGGAACCTCAGTTCTGGAACTTAATATAGTCTGGAAGGCTGTTGGAGAAGCGATTTGTTCAAAAACTGAATCGTTTTTTCCCCATTAGAAATAATGTAAATTTGAATTATTCTGTTCCGGACCCACAAATGATTCCCTGTTTTAACTTTTCTGATATAGTGCTGGAAAACAAATCAGTTTCATTAAAAAGAGATGTTGACAGGAAGCCAGGAAGGCTGATCAACAACCTTATTTGCTCTAATCTTTAGTTGAGATATTGTTAGCTGAAGCAAAATCTACCTTGTTTGTCCCGTGAGTTTCTGTTATTTCCTGCCTAAGGGCTACATGTAAATTTCTGTTGCCTAAGATGTTTTCCCCAAAGCCTCAATAAAAGGGGATGGTGGGCCAGAGCAGGGAGTAGTTCTCCCACTAGAGTTGGACTGCCGCCTGGCCCACCATATTGCCAAGTTGAATTTCTTCAAGTCTCTTTTCATTTGTGTGCAGCCCTTCTCCAGAACCTGAACCCTGAATTGGAATTCTTTCTTCGCGGGCCGTAAAAGAGAGTCCTATAATATAAGTAATGTCTAATGTACTGTTTAATCTATAAATAAACACTTATTTTCTTCAATTTGTCAAACCACTTGTTACTAGCCTTAAAGGAGTCACTTTCAACACTATTCCAGGAATGTCTTTCAGCATCTTTGCTTTTGCACATATCATTGCCTCTGAAATGCTATCACAAGCTAATTGCTTTTCATTTATCCAAATTAGCAATGCCTTTTCTACCTCTACAATTGCCTGTGATTTTTGTTTTGTGAGCACTTTCACACCCTTGCCAATATTAACATGCTTGATGACCTCTTTATGTTTTAAAATTGTCCTAATCATCGATTTCACCAGCAACAAAAGCATTCTATCCTTTGTTGCCTTAGGGATGCTTTTTGTCATGCTGAGGTATCAACATAAAAATGTTGCCGGTTGGAGAACTGAAAAATTTTTTTCCTGACACTTTTTCCCTTGAGTAACTTGGTCTAGAACCTAATTATTTGAGATGAAAAATGTTTGAGAACTGAGGTTTGACTGTATTTGTTTTGTTAGAATTCTGCCAGTTCAGAAACTCTCAGAAGCTATTGCCTCATTCTTATCTCTGCCAGGATATAAACTTGTATGGAGTGGGGAATAAGCAGGAAGGCAATGAAAAATTTTCTTTCCCTCTTTGTAGTAGACAGAATGGAATAGAACTTAGATTAAATGGCTGATTGTGCTTGATGCTGTATAAATCTACTCTTCAAGTACTACATAATTATAGGAAAATAATGGCCATGAAGCTGTGAGTATATAAGTGAAGTTGTGGTTGGTACTTGATGCTATGTATTTTGATTTCTTTGTGTCTAATACTTGTGTCTTGGAACATGGTAAAGGAAGAGAGAAGAGGAGGAAGCAAAGAGGGATGGTCATAGTGAGAAATCAGGCGCCTGCTCTGGTCGAGCAAACCAGAAAAGGTCAGATGTTAAACTTCGCAGGTTTACCGTTGAAGCTTGATTTGGTCTCCCTACGGAATCAGACATTGGGAAATCAGTCCACACTATTCAAATACCTGCGAGAATGACTTGTAAACCAAACAACCTATTTGTTAACCTGTAGTGGGGGATATCACTCCCATGACTGAAATGGTATGTCTACTACTTCAGGCAACCACTTACTAATACCAAGGTTCCTGGAAATCAAATAAGGAACCCGATGTATTTTTCTGAGTTTTGAATCAGAGCAAAGGGAATTTGATGGAGCACACAATTCAGGCTTCAGTAGTTTCAGTGAATAATACCTGGTAAATCACAAGTATCTTTATCTTTATATTTTACTCTTTCCTTCAGATACAACATATTTTTCTTCTGGCAGTAGAGAGGATATGTTCACAAGATTTTACTCTATTTTCTTTCTGAACCTATATCTCTTTTAGATTGCCTTTATTATTTCCAACAGATTTTTTTTTCAGCACATTTCTCAACTTTTTAGAGTTCCTAAATTATTTTTTTCTGTGCCTTTTTTTTTTTTTTTTTTTTTTTTTTTTTTTTTTTACTTGCTTTGGGGAACATTCTCTCTGTTCTCTGAATTACTCTTTTTGAACAATGACAACTTTTGGAAAATTTCCTGTAGATAGGGAGATCCAGTCCACATGATTTGTGTGTGTTTGTGTGTGTGTGTGTGTGTGTTTTAAATACATGTAAAAGATTTATTAACATGAGAATAAGAAAACTAGTTAGAATATAAAGTTTCTAAGAGCATTTGAAGAACAGGGCATTTATAAACATTAAAAAAAGACTATTGGCATAAGGTTGCTAGATTAATATAAAGCTGGTTACAGTGCAATGAAACTATAGCCTTTGGAGATAAATTTTCTATCAAAAATAAATATACGAAGTTAACGTGCTAGTTCATAGAACAAAAACTTAAAATGTTTTTAAAATTATTTTTTTATATTGAGGTATAATTGATATATAATATTATATTAGTTTCACATGTACAACACAATGATTCAATGTTTGTATATGCCAATTCTTATTTTACTTAACTGAAAGAATAGTGTTTCCTAATCTTGTCCTTAGATTTTATTTTTTATTTTATTTTTTAAAAATATATTTTATTGACTTTTTACAGAGAGGGAGAGGGATAGAGAGTTAGAAACATAGATGAGAGAGAAACATCAATCAAGTGCCTCCTGCACACCCACTACTGGGGATGTGCCCTCAACCAATGTACATGCCCTTGACCAGAATCGAACCTGGGATCCTTGAGTCCACAGGCCGATGCTCTACCCACTGAGCCAAACCGGTTTCGGCTTGCCCTTAGATTTTAGAACCATCTTAAAGAAAAGGTTGAGGGGAAGGCATGTACTAGTAGCCCTATTTGTAATACTGTTTTTATTAGGTGTGATTTTATTCCAGTTGCAATTAAAGTTTCTTCTATTTATTTCTCTAATGATTTTCTTCCCAATTAGTTATAAATATTAACAGGACAATTTTCTTTTATTTTTTCCTATGCCATTGCCATTATTATAGATCTCTAGGCATGAAACTTGGGTGAACACCCCTCTTCTTACTGTGATTCATTGACATACAAGATATGGCTCTGAGATGCCTTAGTTCCTTTCAATAACAAAATAGGAGGTATGAAGAGAGAGAGAGAGAGAGAGAGAAAAGAGAGAGAGAAAGAGGGAGAAGAATATGACACAATGAGAAAGAAACATGGCACTGATGAAACCTCAGTGAACTAGGATGGTATGAATTCACAAAATAATGATGGCATTTTACATCTGTGCAGTGATGATCCTTAGAGGAGTTAAATGACAGAGGAGTCCCATAGCTATAAGTGCTAGAGTAAGCACTACTGCTAGGATTTATGATTTCCAGTCTGGTATTCTTTCTACATTTTATTTAACATTCCTTCCCACAAATAAGCCCAAATAATTTAGTAAATCAAGTTATTTCAGATTGTAAATTGTTAGTTTTAAAAATTCTTTGACAACATTAATTGTTTGTGTGCTGAAGCCATAGCTTTGTCTATGATCAGAATAATGATTTTAAGAATTTGATGGTTCATTTTGTCAAAGATTCTAATTGCTGCCCTATTTCTAAATCTAGATGTAGTAGAGTTAAGTGTATGTTCTAAAATTAAACACGTTTTGTTACCATTAATCTGTGAAATGGCCCATCTCTTTTCACTGTCACACTGATACATTTTCAAAAAAAGTAGACTTAGCAGTATTTTCATTTTACAGAGACTGTGAAATTATTGATGCAATATGTTTTTTATTTTTATTTTTAAAATATATTTTATTGATTTTTTATAGTGAGGAAGGAAGATGGAGAGAAACATTGATCAGCTGCCTCCTGCATACTTCCTACTGGGGATGTGCTTGTAACCAAGGTACATGCCCTTGACCAGAATTGAACATGGGACCTTTTAGTTCTCAGGCCTACTCTCTATCCACTGAACCAAACCAGTAAGGGCACAATATGTTTTTAATTGTGATTTTATATCAAACACAAAAGGTTATCTAGTATAAGCATGTTTAAAAAAAAATAGGAATCATTAGTGGATCACAAAACGACTATAAATCTATAATGCTGATCATTAAAAATTGTTAGTGACTGATTTGCCTAGGGCATTAGGTACCTTTCCTAATGAGCATACTTGATCTTATTTTGGCTTAATTTTGGTCTCAAATTACATACCTAACTCCAGTCATCCATTTATCAAATGGTCATGAAGAAACTTAATTTTTTTCCTATGTCTTGATAATAAACTCAAAGCACTTCCTTTTAATTTATGAAAAAAAATCTTAAATATTTAGAACACATATAATCTATTTCCATTTCCTGAATTTTAAATAAGACATGAAAATAGTCAATATCATCGCAGTCCCAATAAAATAAAACTGAAAATAATCTATAGAGAAGTAATATGTATGTATATAATGAATATATACATACATACAATAAGATGAGAAAAAATTGAGTTATTAAGTTTGAGCTTCAAATTTCCATTAAAATATAAAACCCTCAGTAGCAGTGCAGTTGAACTGTCTGTTTAAATGACATAGAAATCAGATTA